TTATTTATTTATTTATTTATTTATTTATTTATTCATTCATTCATTCATTCATTCATTCATTCATTCATTCATTCAATTTGTATACCGCCCCTCTCCGAAGACTCAGGGCAGCTCACAATGCAATGTGATGCATACTAATGTTATGTAGTTGGGTCATAAAACGTCTGCAAGAAAACCAGCAAGCTCAGAGAGCATCAATAGACCGCACAATCCTCCTCCTCCCCTCTGCAAACTGATCACACTGATAATGTTCCCTGGTTGGGTCATGAAACGTCTGCAAGAAAACCAGCAAGCTCAGAGAGCACCAAGGGCCCAACAGTCCTCCTCCTCTTCCTCTTCCTCCTCCCCCAACCCTGCTCCCTTGTAACACGGATGATGTTATCTAGTTGGGTCATAAAACGTCTGCAAGAAAACCAGCAAGTGTTATCAGTTTGCAGTTTGCTCCTCCTCCTCCTCCTCCTCCTCTCTGCAATGTGATGTTCCCTAGTTGGGTCAAGAAAACCCCCCAGCTCAGAGAGCACCGAGGACCCCACAGTCCTCCTCCTCCCACTTCTCCTTCAGCCCTGATGAGATTCCCTAGTTGGGTCAGGAAACGTCTGCAGGGAAAGCACCAAGGAAGGAGCCGCCCTGCCAACCCTGAGCTACAAACATTCTCCTTTATTCCTGTTCTTCTTTGGCCCACTTAGCCGGGCGGCCCCGCCCCACTGCAAGCCCCGCCCCGCCCACCGGGAGCCCCGCCTCCTGGGAAGGGAGCCCCTTTAGGACAGGGGAGGGGCTCATTGCAGCTTTCTCCCCCTCGGGCCGTCCTGCCCACGATGGGGCATCCCGGTGCTGTTTCCCTTGCGGGGCAGAAGGCGGGTCTCTGTCCGACGCAGCCATTCTCCCGCAAAAATTCGTGGGAAGGGTCTTCCTACCCACCCCCATTGCCCACTGGCTTTGCGAGGGGAAGGGAAAAAAAAAACATTCAGGCGTGCCCCGTGTGAGGCTCGAACTCACGACCTTCAGATTATGAGACTGACGCGCTGCCTACTGCGCCAACGAGGCTCCTGTCGAAAGTCTCGCTCCGGAGTCTCCTTGAGGCCAAGCCTGTCCTTTCCTTTTTTTTTTGGTGGAGGAGATGGGCTGCGACGGTCCCGGCTCACCCGCATCCCCCGAGCGCTGCTCCATGCGACCCCTTTTCTCTGGGTTCCGAGAAAAAGATGCGAGTCAGGTCTGGTCGCTGGAAAGCAACTCGTGGCCGCATGAAATCCTTTGGGAGAGGGGAAAAAAACCGTTTTCACTCATTCCACCAATGGAACAGGAGTTGCCTTCGGAAGTTGGGGGAGCTTCATCACTGGAAGCTTTCAAGAAGAGACTGGACTGCCCTCTGTCAGAAAGGGTGGGGGGGGTTGGACTAGATGACCTACAAGGTCCCTTCCAACTCTGTTATTCTATATTTGCCTCCATGCGGCGTATCGGTGCCCAAAGACGTCCCAAGGGCTTGTTTTTTGTTTTTCACGTCCCAGAGATTTTGGTCTTATTTTTACCAATATTTTGTATTCTGCATAATCCATATAGCCAATGTGCATTTAAAAATAACTTTGTCTTTGCACATTTAAAAATACGGTTTATGGTTAATTATCTTCTAGTGTGGCACAGAACTATTGCTAGGTTCAGTAATGGGCTGTGGGTTCAAAACAGGTTGATACTACATGGCTGTATTGTAATGGATTACAAGGAGTTTCAGATGACAGACAGTCCTTGACTTAGAACAGCAATTGAGCCCAACATTTCTGTTGCCAAGTGAAACCTTTGTTTAAGCGAGTTTTGCCCCATTTTACAACCTTTCTTGCCACGGTTGTTAAATGAATCACTGCAGAAGTTAAGTTAGTAACACGGTTGTTAACTGAATCTGGCTTCCCTCATTGACTTTGTTGCCAGGAAGTCGCAAAAGGTGAGCACCGCAACCGTCATAAATATGAGTCAGTTGCCCAGCATCTGAATTTTGATCACGTGACCATTGGGAAATGATGCTGCAATGGTCATAAGTGGGGAAAACAGGCATACATCCCTTTTTTCGATGCTCTTGTAACTTTGAACAGTCACTAAACAAACCGTTGTAAATCAAGGACTCCCTGTACAATACAACTTTTCAGCCGAGAAAGCGATTACAGCAGTCAAATACCTGAACATCAATATAGAATCTGATGCATGTTTAATTAGGAGTAAGTTCTTCTGTCTTTGCCCATATTCAGTGCAGTTCACTTTCTGATTTTCTCTGAAAATGCAACTCCGAGCACTTTTGCTTTGGGATTAAATTCCATTAATTCAGTGGGATTTATTTCTGAGGAAGTCATATACATAACGGATGGCTTGTTGATAGGTTGAATCTTGCTTATTTTCCTGCAGATGTTTCATGACCCAAACTAGGTAACATCATCAGTGCTAGCGATGTTAGCACTGACTAGCACTGATGGTGTTATCTAGTTTGGGTCATGAAACGTCTGCAAGAAAACAAGCAAGTTCAGAGAGCACCAAAGACCCCTCATGTCAAGCCTGAGTTACAAATATTCTCTTTTATTAATATACAGGTTGAGTCTCATGACGTCACCGCCAAGGCAGGCGGCCAAGGAGCCTTGAGGGAATGACTCATCATTGCTCTGACTCAATGCATTTTAAAAAATCAATCGTCATTAAAGATTCACCAGAGTCTGTCACATTGCTGCCACGAAGAAAGAGCCATTGCTGTCGGATTATAGCATCTGCAATACAGGAATCTGAATGTTTCAGGTTTAGCCACAATTAAACCCGAGAGATCACAATTAAAACCTTGCTTGCTGTCACCTACACGCTTTGGACTTCAGGGATGGTCCAAAATTTTTGTGAAGGTCAAATGCTTCCTCCTCACCTCTTCCACCCCACCCCACCCCGACGGAAATGTACACCAAACCAGTCAAGTGATTTTAGGATGCAAAGCAGAAAATGCTGCAATCTTTTCTTCCCATCGCTGGGAAATTCAGCCATGGAGAGAGCTGTGGGCTCTCAACCCTCAAAGGTGAAACTTGGTGGAATTTAATGCTACCATCACAGATGCTTTCCATATTCTCTTTGGAAACTCAGTATCTTCTATCCTATATTATACTAACTATCCTTAAAAGCACACTTTCCAATGCTTCACACCTGAATAACCAACGCTGGACAGCTCCCAATCAAACCCTCCTAAAAATTCACACCAGTCGATTTCAAACATCTAAAATGTGCCTTTTAGCCCTAATAGATGATGAAGGCGGAGAAAGGAATTGAGTTTATAAAGTGCATTTGATATGTAATCATAGATTATCCAGTAGGGCTCAGGAAAGATTCTAAGGCCCAACAAATCAGTTATTTTGTGGTTTAACGCAACATTTGCTCCAGGCTTCCCAGTTCAAAAGCAGCTAAATTTGACAGAGGTGTGATGCACTATAGTTTTTATTTATTTATTTATTATTTAAATTTTTATACCGCCGTTCTCCCGAGGACTCAGGGTGGTGCACAGCTACAATAAAACACGTATATCCATAAAATTTAAAGAACAGTTTAAAACATATGAAACAATTTGGCCCTATATTAAAAACTAAAACATCCATTAAAATTCGTTCTTAAGCCAGCCCAGCCTGTTGAAACAGTAAAGTCTTAAAGGACACGGCGAAAGGTATGTAGGTCAGTTGTTGGACATAGGCATCCAAAACAATTTACAATCATCTCACGTGTGTGATGTGCCACATACATGACATCATTTATTAGCAGCTCTAATTCTTGCATATGTCTTCATTATTTTGCACACTCACTCACACACTCATGATCATCCTGCCAGGTGAATATGCCCTTAGAAGAAACCTGGTCAAACAGCCTCACTAAAGAGGTGATGCTAAGGAGTGGTCCATTTTATGCAGCATCTCTTTTCTATTCTTCAGATGTGAAGGAAATACGCCAAAAGACTCTTCAAGTCTCTGTGCCAACAACAGCAGCTTTATGGCTTTCGTTATTTGTTGGGTTGTGTACTCTTCCATTGTGAGAGGGACTAGAGACATTAGGGTCCTGTAGCAACCTGCCTCTTGGCAGCTGTCCCATTGCTCCGAAAGGGTTTGAAGGATGGGCTTTGACTCTCTTTGGGAGAGAGAGTCCTGGTATGTTTCCCCCGGGCCATTCCTTGCAATGAGGATCTGCAAGTCCCGTGGATGATGAAGCGGATGACGAGCTGTCAGTCGCAAGGATGGAGCATTATGCACCACAGGAAATCTTTGGCTTTTGAGTAACCAGGAATGAAGAGCCTGAACATGGCAGCTGCCCTCGGCATGCCCAGCGGGCAGGCAGATGGGCGCCAGGGCCTCCCACGTGGCCTTTCAGCAGCCAGAAGTGAGAAGCTCTGAATGATGTGCAAAACGAAAAGCAGACGTCAACAAAATAAATAACCAAAAAGCAGAAGATGCCAAGAAGATGAGGAGCCTGGGGAGTGAACCTTCCAGCATCTGCGGCAGAGCTCCAGGAGGCCAGGCTAGTTGAGGATCAGGATGATGGGCTCTGTAGCCCAGGCCTCTGAAGGCAGAAAAGGGGAGTGCGTAGAGGGGCATTTCATGCCACTAAGAGCAATGGGAGTTGGACACTAGGATGTTGGAAGACGCATTTCTAACAAAACCAGCAGCCTGGGAGCTGAGGAGGCTGGAAAGACATCAGGCGTTCAGCACGATGGGGCTTGTGATCCCTAAAACCTGGCATGTCAACAGGGCTGGGCCTACTCCTCCTCCTCCTCCGAGTCGCCATGGTAACCGCGGCGGCCGGGAGGGGAGAAGCTTGTGCCCGACCTGCGCAAGCGCGCTGGCCTCCGCCTCTTCGCCAGGCTCCCCTCCAGACGCAGGGCCGGGGACGGCCGGTTGCGCAGGCGCAGCTGAAGCCCAGGAGGACGCCGCGGCCTGCTGCTTCTGCTTCTTCCTGCCTGCCTCCCTGTGACGTCAGATGCCGGGAGGCGGGGCGTCTCGGGTCAGCTGACCGCGGGCGGGCGGGGGGGCCGGGGGAGGAGGAGGAGGAGGCCGGGCGCCGCTGAGGAGGCCGCAGAGACGCCGAGGGGAGCAGCCGCCGCCGCCGCCGCGATGCCCTCGGAGAAGAGCTTCAAGCAGCGACGCACCTTCGGTGGGCCCGGGGACAGGCGGACTGGGGGGGGGGGGAGGGGGGCCGCGGAGCCCGTCAGAGCCCTTTCCCCGTCTGGGGCGGCTGCGGCCGATGGGAGTTGGAGTCTCCCCTGAGAAAGGCCGGGGGTGGGGGTGGGGGTGGGGGTGGGGAGAGGAAGGACTGGGGAGGATTGGGCTTTGTGCGTGGCTCTGCTCCCGCTTTCCTCGGATCCCAGGTCCTTGGCCCCACACAACAGCCCTGCGGAGTAGGCCGGGAGGGAGGGAGGAGAGAGGGAGAGAGGCCTCCCCCCCCAGAAGATGCCTGGCACCTGGTCTGCCCTCCCCCCCCCTCCGGCCAAGAAGGACGGCAGACCCTCCCCCCACGGCCCCTCCTTTTCTCCAGGAAGCCCCCCTCCCCCCAGCCCCTGGCATCTTCTGCCCCCCCTGAGAATATTAAGGGAGGGCTCCAGCCCCCTCCCCAAGAACGACCCCCCCCCCTCAGCTCCCTTGGTGTGGGGCAGATAGCTGAAAGCCCTCCCAATGGCCTGACCCCCCCCCCCGCCCAGCATACCCAGGATGCCTCTCCATGGGGATCCACCCCCCCCCCCCAATTAAACCAAGCCTGGAGCTGGGCGACATGTCAGTGCAAGGCCTGTTTGTGCGGCTTCTTGGCATCCAGATGTAAACAGGTCTGGTGCCCGTCACTTCCGCCCGGGAGGCTGGCACCGTGGGCTAGCTGGCACACACCTTCCCTGGGAGCCTGGAGGGCAGCGGGTTGCAAGTGCCGGTCAAGGTTAGGAGGATGAGTGGGTCAGTTGGGTCATCTGGGTTATGGGGTGGGGTGGGCAGGGGCTACTGGGGCCTTTTATTTGATCTTTCCTTCCTCTGCAATGGTGGGATGGGGGTGGAGAATAGTCCTGCAGTAGCCCAGGGAATCATTGCTTCCTGGGCAATGCCAGGGTTCATGAAGCCAATGCAAACCCTTTCCTGAGGTGTCTAGTCAGAAGGACCTGATGGGCACCTCTGAACGACCCGGTTAGTTGTTGTGGTTGTGGAAAAGTTGAATCACAGGTGATTATTTCACTAATTGCCTGGGTGACTGCAATACTCAGTGGCAGGTGACTTCTGACAGACCAGTGGCACAAAAGGGGAAGAAAATATTGAGCATTTCCCTCCTCCTCCCAAAAAATAAAAAATGGGTTTAATGATTGGGAGGAAAAAGAAATAATCGACTCTTGCAAGACTTGTGAATTGATTTATTTCCACTGGAGTTTGAAGTTCTGCTGTTAAATGGTATAATCGAGGCTTAAATGTGATTTTCTTTTCTTTCTTTCTTTCTTTCTTTCTTTCTTTCTTTCTTTCTTTCTTTCTTTCTTTCTTTCTTTCTTTCTTTCTTTCTTTCTTTCTTTCTTTTTTCTCTTTCTCGTTTGACTGTGTTTTGAGTGGTTGATTCTGTTTTTGTTCTGCCTAAACTGGTTTTCCTGCTTCTTTGGTAAGGCGGAAGAAGAACTGGCACTTTGTTTTGTTTTTGTGCTGCTGAAAATGAAAGTAAAGGTCACATTTGCTGTTTGTTTTCCTTTAGGAAATGAGTAATGCAAACAGGCCCATATCAAGGTGGGGGGGAGGAACCTCTGGGGCATAGCAGTACAAATAACCATTGGCTACCTTTGTATTTTTTGAAGAGGTTACTATTATACTTTGTTAAAGTGTATAGTTGATGTTAAACAAGCTTAATTGGTTTCTTTTTGAGGGATAGAACTTGGCAATGACTTTACTTTTTCTCTTTTAGAACAAAGAGTAGAAGATGTCAGACTTATTCGGGAACAGCACCCAACAAAGATACCGGTGAGTTGGCTTCAGACTGGTCTGTCTAATGGTGAGACTCAATTAAAAGTATCGGCAATATTGGAGGGCTAAGGGGTTGACAGTTTCAGTTGATGTAATCATAATTAGTGAAAGATACTTTGCCCTGTGTTGTTTACTTTAAAGAAGGATTGGCATTTGTTTTGCTCCAGAGCTCAATTTCTGATTGCAGCTGGCTTTTCTTTTAATGTGTAACTGACTGGAGAAAGGAAATAGACTGAAATAACAAGGAGAACTGGATTCACAAGCTTCCAATTTATTTTGAGAGAGGAAGATCTAGAGCAGGGGTTCCCAACCTTTTCTATACCCCGGACCCCTTGAATGCTTCTGGTATATTCTCGCACCCCTTACAAAAGTAAATGATTATATGCATATAACTATGCACATGCACTATAATTTTGAAACTTCTAAACCCACATTTTTGCACCTCCTGGAATATCATCTCACACCTCCAGGGGGTACAAGTAACACACACGCACACCCGTTGGGAACCCCTGATCTAGAGCAAGAGAATCATTCATTCCTGTCTTTCTCCAATGCAGTTTGAAGCTCCTTTTCGCTAATTCATTAAGGCGTTCTTGATCATATTTCTGTGGACCTTGAGTGAAAACTCAAGATTGCATGCCACAAAGGGACCACAAGTATACTTCTATGGAACTATTGCAAGACAGCAGCAGAAGCATTACTACAAAATAATAAGAAATCCATCCAAATGAATAAAGCTAGTTGTTGAAGTGTCTGGGAAAGAAACGATACCAATGCTGAAAACCGGTAGCCCTTCTCAATAATAACATTCCCAAAGATCTGTTCCCTGTTGTACATCTACAGTAGTTGGGAAGGAAATACAGAAGACTTCCAAAACTTTGAGAGCTTGTGTGGGAAATAAGGAAATAGTGATAAGAGCTGGGCAGTCAGGCAGAGGCAATAACAGAACAACAGAGTTGGAAGGGGCCGTGGAGGTCTTCTAGTCCAACCCCCTTCTCAGGCAGGAAGCCCTGTACCATTTCAGACAAATGGTTGTCCGATCTCTTCTTAAAAACCTCCAGTGTTCTTGGGCACTGAATCCAAGGCCCAAGAATAGTTCTGTCTACAAGGATTTCTCAAAGACCTTGGAACCCCATCTGCTTTTGTTGACTTCAGCCTTTTGCTGCCTGTGTCCCAAGAGGGGCTTGGGCAGACCTTGGGAGCAGGGGGGGGGGAGAGCATTGGACTTAAGGGTATTCTCTGAATTGATTGCCTCTTTCTGAGTTAAACTGGCCCACATTTCTGTGCTGTAGGGTTGTGTACCTAGCATAGAGGTGGGCCACCTCCCAGAGGCCTCCTAAACTTGTACCCATTTTATCCTGAGCCTGTTCCAGGGAAAGATGCACTTGCTTTAAAGAGCATCTGGTGGGCTTTGTTAAGAACATTTAAATGGAAGGACCACGGCCAGCAAGGTTAAAATGACAACTTGGAAAGAGAGGAAAGTAAAAAGGGGATTTCCATCCTCCTTGCCAAGGCAGAATGCCTCTGGTCCAGAAACAGGCCCAGAGAGGGTCCGACTGTGCTTGCCTGATATGCTGACTTAGGTGTTTGCGCAATTCTTGGGTAAATCCCATTGCAGGCAGTGTGCAGTTCAGGGAACCAGGAAGTGGCTACTCTTTTTTTTAAGTTCTCCCGCTCACTGGAGAAGATAATATGAAACTCTCATTTTCCAATCATGTTCCCAGCCCCTATCAGAGCAAGGAGCAAACTCCAGAATAGCCTGAATGGCATTGTCAGCATTGTAGACCCCTCCCCCCTTCCTGCCCTTCCCTCTGGATTGTTCAGATCAGTGGCTGATTAGGCTACCCCTCCCCCCCATCCCACCCCGGTTAAGGGGGTCTTCCATGTAGAGCAATCTGGCGAGTCTTTTGCCCCTGATCCGTTTGCAATTTCAAGGAAGGAATTCAGGTCAGCTGCATGGAACAGACTCCTGAAAGGCCATTGGATGCAGCTGCTGAGATGGGCCTTGGCAATTTTTAAAATTTACTGACCTCCCTCATAAAAGTACCCTAGCAGAATCTGCCATCTTTGGGAATAGCCTGCTAAATAACATGGTTATTTCGCCTGGCTGGTTTGGACTGAAGGGGTTTTAAAGGGGATTTTAATGGTCTTTTTATAATCTTATTGGGTATTTTTAACATTGATTTTGCTTGTTTTTATTGTTGTGAGCCGCCCTGAGTCCTTCGGAGATAGGGCGGCATACAAATTTAAAGAATAAATAAATAAATAAATAACCGAAGAGTGTCTGGAGTTGGATGAGGGAGTAGTTTTCTATCGAATAAAGCAGTAAATAATTAAGGAATCACCGTGCATTTGTTCATTTTTCTTTGTTAATTTACATAATTTGTTTGTTCATATATGTTGTAATACGGTACTTATAATCCACCCATCTTCAGTGACCCCGGGCGGTTTGCAACATCAAACAGGGAAAAAACCAAAACAATAAATAACTAGATGAGAATTAGTACAAGAAAACAAAATCAAGGCCTGGTAGAACTCAAGATAGGTATCATCATCAGCCAAAATTAAAATTAGCCTATTTTAAATTTTTCCTTTTTTCCCCCCAGTGCCAAATGTAGCAGAAAATTATCTAATTCTGCTTCCATTCTAAACACACAGTCCTTTGTATAGAAACTATGAAAACTGTTACTTTACAGAACATTGATCTTTAGTTTGAAGCCCAAATAATCTTTTTTGTTTCCTTTTCTTTCCAAAAAGAACTAACAATGGAACAAGCAGTTGCATCCAGTTCCATTTTTATACCTGTCATATGATCTCTTTAGTCAAAACTACACTGGCCTATCTTAAGTAATGGCAGCAGTTCTGCTTTAAATAGTCTTACATAATCTCTTTCAATGGCACTTTTCTGTTTCTCAATGACAAAAACTTAAGTTGTCAAGACATCCTCTCTTTTGCTTAACAAAGAGCCAGGTTACATCAGGCTATAAGGAACAAGCATTGTTCTGTAATAGCATTCAGATTGATTTTGCAGAGGATGTAGAAATTTGTAAAAAAATAATAATATGCAAACGATAGAACTCTTTCGAGCTGATCTTCCTGCATAGACTTTGTCTGGGAGCCAATCCCATTGAAATGTATAATTCATATTGCGTGGGTGAGCATAGGATTGTACTATGAACATTTGGATGCAGTGCTTGGCTGATCAGTTCCTGTAGAAAACAAAAGCTGCTACCTTTCAGGTCGAGAAACTATTTACAAATGGCATCATTTCCTCAGTGGCCTCAAAGAGCAGAGATAATGTCTTTGCAAATGTTGGAATGATGATGATGATGAGGATTATCTGTAGTGCTTTTTATTTAAAATATCACTTTTGCTACTTCCATGATTTCTCCTGCAATTACCTTTTTCTTCTCTTGTTTTAAACCTGTCGTGGTAATTCTGGACACACTTCAGCAGAGTTTTCATTAAAATAAAGGCAATTATGTAGATTCACAAATGTAGGTACACCCTTTGTGTTGTTCAAGGTATTGGTTTTAAATACTGCTGAGTAGGAATCACAGGTAACGATGTGTACTACCAATTGGCATGGTTTGGAAAAACGTAGTTCCATTTTGTGCCAATCCAGATATAAAATGTGAATTTAAAGTTGCACGTCTATCGCATTCCAACGTTTGCTTCTACTCTTGGCATCTTTTCCAGGTGATTATCGAAAGATATAAGGGAGAAAAGCAGCTTCCCGTTCTGGACAAAACAAAGTTTCTTGTCCCAGATCACGTCAACATGAGTGAGCTTATCAAGATAATCAGGTATTTAACCTGTAATCGTTTGCATGCAGACTCACTTTTTGTGATACCTGAGAAACAGGAGGTTTCCTTCCCTTGGGGCCACCAGATTTTATTGGGACTCTGTTGGCTAAGAACTGTTAAGAATTATTGTTCCACAATATTAGGAAGATGCTAAGCCCAGGCAAGCTACTATAGTGGATAACTCAGCTAGGATTCCACAAGGCTCAGCTGACTTGTGGCAAAACCCAGATCTTAAACACAGCCTATCCTCTGCTTACTCAGGGGTAAAGCTGCAGAGGGACAGGCGCTGTTGGGCTTTGCTGCCTGAAAATTGTTTTTAAAAAAGATTTTACTTAGTTCATGGTTGTCCCAAAGGTGCTTTTTCAAAAGGCAACAGGACTTCCTTGGTTTTTTCCTTGAAAACGTTTCGCTTCTCATCCAAGAAGCTTCTTCAGTTCTAACTCCACATCCATTTACACTCCGATTCAGGTGACTCTGAGGATACAGACAAACTCCCAAGTGGCCTCAACAACTCTCAGAGAGTTAACACCGACCTTCAGAGTAGATGACTGTGAAGAATATAAATCCTTCCATTTCCCCACCAGAATTGAAGAAGCTTCTTGGATGAGAAGCGAAATGTTTTCAAAGGGAAAAACCAAGAAAGTCCAGTCGCCTTTTGGAAAAGCACCTTTGGGACAACCATGAGCTAAATAAAATAGGCCACTGCTGGTTGGGATTGTGAAGGAGGGATCTATTCCAACCTGAGCAAACGAGGTGGAACCTGGAAATAAATCCCAGGGTCCATTCAATGCATTGATTGCTGGGGTGTGTGTGTGTGTTACGTTTTGTCAGCCCGTTCAAAATCCATGAATGGCCTTTGTGAGCCTGTCTGGCTTTGTCCTGGCGGTGGCAGGTATCCAGTCCCTGGAGGTCCGCTCAAAAGGGAGAGGCAGAGAAATGCCGGGGAAGATCAGCTTAGTTGAATGATCATTTCTGGATGTGATAAAGAAGAGGAGACTGTCATCCATTTGGGAGTCCCCAAGGCCAGGCCGAGCGCTGGTGTTGGTGGCACCCCTTTCCTGAAGGGCTTCCTTTTCCCTTCCAGACGGCGACTGCAGCTGAATTCCAATCAAGCTTTCTTCTTACTGGTGAACGGACACAGCATGGTGAGCGTCTCCACACCCATTTCGGAGGTGTACGAAAGTGAAAAGGATGAAGACGGATTCTTGTACATGGTGTACGCCTCTCAGGAAACGTTTGGCATGAAATCCTCCATGTAAACACCTTGCCCCTTGGCCTTGTAGCCTAGCCTAGTTTTTACCCTCCCCTTCCCCTTCCCCTCCCCTCCCCTGCCCCTTTGCCCAGGAAAAAGAAAGGGATGTCGCGCCACTGATCTGCTCAGAGTAGTTGTGCTTTGCAGGATGTTCTCAACGTCCTTTCCTTTTTGTTTGTAAATATTTAACAGATGAGTGCCAGTACGGACAAGCAGCCCAGCTTTGTAGACTTGCTATACGTTTGCACAGGCATACTTGCTTTTCAAAAGCCTCTGGAATTGGAGCAAGACCATAACATGCATGTTGACAATAATAATAATAATTAAAAAAATAAATAAATGTTGGCGTTACTCAAATCATAGGAACTGGGCTAAATATTAAAGTAGCCAACTGAAATACATCTATGTGATATATCCGGTTAATTTATATTTCAGCTCCTTAAAAACTGCTTTTCCTTAAAGGTAGGAAAGTCCGCCTCTTCCGGCTTCTTGGTGTTTGGAAAATCAGTGCACGTGGGGGGGGGGGGGGAGAGAAGAAAAGGGTTAATTCCCTGGTATTGCTACTTCAGTCAATATCAGCAAAACTCCAGATTGCTAACTATAACTATATACCAAGCATAGCTTTAGTTTAGGAATTGTGTATTTTAAAAATTAGGTTATGTACTTAACAGTTAAGAATGTTACTCTAATATATTCGTATTCTGTCATGCATCTTTTTTTTTTTTAATCGAATCCGCCCATCTCGCCCTCCGAAAACAGGGCTTCCTTTTATCCTTCAAATGGTGATAACAGATGCAAGACATCAGGTGCAGGCAAAGGCAAGCTTTTTAGCCATTACAATTGTGTCTTTCTGTGCACATCTATGTATCTTCCTCTTTTTACCCGCTGAGTTCTTGAACTGGGACAGATGGAACCAAGATTGAATCTGCGTTGCATCCGTAACTGAAAACCTTGGTTTCCTTCCGTTTTAATTTCACACTGAACATAATTTCACTTTATTAAAGTCTAAACTGTATCTAAAATGACCAAGAGTGTGTGTGGATTCGATGGCTACAACTTTGTACCTGCTACAAGTTGACTGAATTTTCATTTTGTTGTTTCCTGTGCAGAAGTATTTCAGATATCCGTCTGGATTCTTCAGAAATGTAAATTTACTGTTGTTTATGTGCAGGTGGGATGGTGTTCTAGAGAGCTCACTTCCAGCAAGCAATCCTACTAAAATCGCAGTCCATTCAAAAGGCTCGGCCTGCTAGCCAGATTGTAACTTGGGATTCACCTATTCAGGGTTTGGTTTCAAAATTGTCCCTGCGAGATCTCATTGTATACATGTGATGTACTCTGTGCAACTTAGTTCTACATATAGACGGCTTTTTTAAGTATGGAATGGCTGCATCTTGTTGTTTTCTTTTGAAAAGGCGGTGGGTGCTCTGGTTGTAAGGTGGTTTTAAAGAAGCCCATCCAAAACCTGGCGCCATTGTTCCTGTGTTACATCATGGGTGACAACTGAATGAATGTGGCTGTGGACTTGTTCAACATTGAAACCTAGTTATGTTATATAGCACGGCACCGGGAAATTGGCGTAGCTGCCTCTGGCCTGGTTGCTTGGAACCAGGCCTGCTCAATTCCTGGGCCACTGTTGCTGCTAACTGGGCTGGGTGGGATTTCTAAGCCACGATTCTAATGCAGCAAGAAAAAATTGGACTCCAAAGGCTGTAAGAAAGGACACTCCTGCTGAGACGATTACGGCAGGGCCCCCACTTCCTGGGCCACGGATTGGTAAAGGTCTGTGGCCTGTTAGGAACAGTGCCACACAACTGGAGATGAGCAGCAGGTGAGCAAAACTGCACGCATGGGATCTAGGTTAAGCCCTCCTTCTCTCCCCCTCCCCGTCTGTGAAACCAGTCCCTGGTGCCAAAAAGGTTGGGGGCACCCGCTTGATTATGGCACAGCCCAGGCTGTAGCATGACCTTGCCTTCCCCTGCAGAAAGCAAGCCCAAGTTCAGTGTAGTTTGTCCACAATTCCCACTTCTGAAGATGCCCTCTGCCAGTCTGTTGCTGAAAGTGATTAGCCCACTCCAAGCCTTATCATCTTTAGCCTCAAGGGGAGGGGGGGAAAAAACCCCATCAATGAGGATGACTGGAAAGACACTGCGGTCTTTTATTTGTTTTTCAGTACATTAAATTTACTCGGATAAAAACATTCTAAAAATGTACATTTTTACCTTTAACAAAGTATAATAAAACATAAAAATTCCAATACCAGAATACTTGACATTTACAGTTCAAAATCATATCAGGTAAATATTAAATATTTACAAAACTTTTTGATATTTATATAAAGTTTCGTGCACATTTTGTAATACTAGGAGTAAAAGAAATGGCTCGAAACGGGCAAAAGGCATCCCTTTTGCTCCAAACGGAAAGTTATAACTGGAAAACATGTTAACCTGCCATTGGGGGACATAAATGTTTCCTATTAACAGTTAGAATTCAGTTCACGGAGAGAGGTGTGGATAGTGGTAGCTTTCTGAATTGCTGGCTTCTTTAATTCCTGCTTCCAGGTAGAGCCCATTAATAAGGGGGTGCAGATACATCATAGGAATCTGACCATTTTAGGGTCATTTCGGCCTTAAAATGAAGTGCATCTGCTAAAGCGTTTCCTCTAGGTGTCTAGGAGTGTTTATTTCAGGACAATATGAAAGGCATCATTTTCAACAGAAATTAGAAAGCTGCTCTCTTAATCGGAGGCTAGTTCAGAGTCTTGTAGTGCTCCGTTAGGTTCTCATTAATTATGGTAAACCCCACACTTTGCAGGTATCCTACAGTACAGTCAATGAAAATAGCCTTCCTTCATAGCAGACGATCAGGGTTTTGGTTTTTTTGTTTTTTAAGTAAGGAAATGCTTTGTCCCCTCTAGGCCAGGATTTTGGGCAATCCTGCATGATGTGCTGTTTTTGTTAACAACATGAATTGAGTCACATTCCTTCAAGTCCTTCAGTGCAAAGTTGCAACCAAACTGAGGCACGCATTTATATTCTAAGAAAGTGTTTCAATTGTTCTTGCACGCGAGGCCTGCTGTGGGCATCTATTCCTATATGAAACACTGCCAACGACTTCTGAATAGTGGAGAATATGAATGGAGAACTACAAGGCAAACCTAATACTTTCAGAGGCAAACCAAGAAAACTCAGATCAGGTTTTCTTCTGGGGGTTCCGCTGCATTTTCTCTGCAATTATATTATCAAAGCAGTTCTCTTTGAAAGTTGGATGGCTGAGTGAGTGAGTCTTTTTTTTTCCATGGGAAAAAAAAATCACATTTTAAAAATTGCACAGATGTAATAGAGGCAAGTTTCTAGAGGCTTCCCAATTAAGAAAACTAATAAAGGTTTTTATTCTGCTAAGCTTGTGGGATGATATTCCTTTTTAACGGACATTTGGCTCTTAGCGTATATTTCAGACTACTAAAAAGTATTTTCACCTTTAACAGTAAATATGAACTGAAAGATGTAATAACCAAGGCAGGTTGCTTCTACTCATGGCAAGATCATTAAGGCCACGTAAATTGCTGAGTTCCCATCCACTTTGAATAGTTTTTTTTTAAATTTTCCTAACAGGTGACCATGTATAGCAGCAGCCTCAATCATTCAGGGCACAACAAAATGAATTTTGCATGTTATGATCTTGACACACTGATTTTAACAGCAGCCACGTTATTACCCCAGGGTTCGGAGCGAATAAAGTTCAACTAACTTAAGTCTGTCTTGCATCCATCTAACTAACCCTGTTTTGGTGAAGCTGAAGTGAGGAGATGGAAACTGAATATTCCATTGCATAGAAATAACGGACATCAGATGCAGGCAGGCAAGAGACCAGCCCAGGAGTGGAACTCGCCACTTCTTTACAGAAAGCAGGGAGAGTGTTAGGACACGGCCACTCCTGCTTTTCAGAGGGGAGCTTTCTTCTACTACAAAGCAGCACATTAAAAAACGTGGAGACCCAGCCAGTCCCGTCCTACAAGACTTAAGACTTGAGGCAACCCAGATGTTATATAAAGCAAGGAGTGCAGCAGGGAGAATGAATTCTTTAAAAAACATTGCCTCCCTTTGACAGGTAAAAATCCACATTGTTTCAACCCCCTTTGGAGAAGCACTACTGGCTGCTACTTAGCTACCAAAGCTAAAATTTTTATAGCCCACATCAAATGAAAGAGGCAAACTATAAAACTTTCCTAAATAATGAAACGGTATGCTGCTGTACTTTGTATTTGACGCTGCGCCTTCTAAGCCCAACAAATTCCTGTAAGAGTCTGAATTTTAAAATTTATTACAGATGTAGAACACCATTTCCTACGGCAGAAACCGCTGAATTGTTAACACTTCCTTAAATCGTAGAAGAGAATTTAAAAAAAAAAATACCACTGAGTCTCTGGCACTAGACCCTCGGAGACTTAAGCTTAATCCACCACTGGTAAGTTAGTCCTACATTAAGAGGAATTGCTGACCAACGTGGTATATAACTCTTTCCAGAATGAAGCAGTCACCTCTGTTCTTTGGGAAGAAAAAGAGGGTTAAGTTTTTTTCCTTTATTAGACGACCACATAGCCTGCTGGTGCCTGTTTCCAACATCTCTTCCCCTCACCTCAGTTTGCTAGAAGTGCAGATAGTCAGAACAGAATTATACATTCTTCCGTAGTGCAACCCTTTAAAATCCCAGAGTGTAGTGCCTGATTTATTTTGAGAGGAAGAAAAAAAAAAGGAGATATGTTTAACTAGCTTCCGAGGTTAAGAGTCCAGCAGGCGAATGGCAACGGTTGCACCACCGGCCTTTAGCTCTCACTCCAACTCCAGATTATAACGAAGCTGCCCAGGAGTTTAATTTTCCAGCATGGAAGGTGAAATTATGGCAACATTCTTCGGCAAAAGTGCAGCAGTTTCTATACAACAAGAAAAGACAGTTGGCCAGTCTCGCCTATCTTCGGGGAGATCCAACGTTAAAATCTGTTTTGGCAATTCAGGAAAAAAAAAATGGGCTTGGAAGCCCCTCCCTCCCCGCCCCCTCTCCTAAAGTTTCAGTTCCTTCCTAGGGTTGAAGTAGAGCACCTTTGGATTAAAAAAATAACATTAATAAGCTCAACAGATAGACTCCCAATCTGAAGTTCCCTAATTATTTCATGGCCATTTTGCCATCACAAAATATTGCATCTGAAGTTAAGCTCAGTCCGTGGACTCTAAACTCTCAGCCGGGGGAGCGTATTTTAACCGAAATGTACCTGAAGGAAAAAGAAGGAAGGTTAAATTAGCAGAGTTTTGCAATCCAGGTTGTAAGAATCCCAGTTCAGATTCATAGAGTCTCATATATTGGGGACACAATACAGGCAGTCCCAGACTCAACCACAATTGGGAGCAGAGCTTCCACTGCCAAGCAAGGAAGTCGTTACGTGAGTCGTGCCCAGTTTTATGACTTTTAGTTGAGTGAACCCCTGCAGGCGTCAAATGAGACCTGCGGTTGTTAAGCAAATCTGGCCTCACCCATTGACTTTGCTTGGCGGAAGCCAGCTGGGGAAGTCGCACGTGGGGATCACGTGACCCCAGGAAGCTCCACCCCCAATCATAAATACATGCTGGCTGCCAAGCGTCCCAATTTTGATCACAGGAAGGTGGGGAAGCTACGCACATTGCACGTGTGAGGACTGCTCCCGTCACTTTTTTCAGGGCCGCTATAACTTCAAACAGCCGCTAAACAATTGGTTGTAAGTCAAGGACTCCCTGTAATTGTTCATCGTATAGACTATTTCCTGAAGGAAGTCGAGACATCCTTATGAGCCGTGGTGGCGCAGTGGTTAGAATGCAGTACTGCAGGCTAATTCTGCTGACCGCCGGCTGCCTGCAATTTGGCAGTTCGATCCTGATCGGCTCAAGGTTGACTCAGCTTTCCATCCTTCCGACCCAGATTGTTGGGGGCAAAAGGCTGATTCGGTCGACTGCTTGGAGAGTGCTATAAAGCACAGTAAAGCAGTATAGCTATC